TGATGGTGGAACATCTTTCTACATCTGATGGTGGAACATCTTTCTACGGCTGATGAGCAGAGAGGAACAGTCTGGCTCAAACTTCCAGCAGCCTCAATGTTGGAACAGTTAACAGCAGCCGATGTGAGGATCTGGAAAAGGCCAGACAAGTCCTAAAATGTACCCAGGTGCCACGTATGGCTTTAAGAACTGATAAAGAACCTTGAAATCAATCGTGTCCAGGTAGCCGTGCACCATAACCGACCTGCTGAAACCCGGAGGGTCTGTCCATGTTCAGACAGCCTGGAGCTACTGAAGGGGTTTGCAACTTGCCAGATATGTTCAACAGCAGCATTCAGTGTTTTTGTGTGGCGGTTTGGGTTTGTAGAAACTCCTCAGGAGCCTTCTCAGATGTGTTACAACACCAGGTTGAAAGCGGAGCTCCTGACAGAAGGACTGATGCTAAACGCTCTTTAGAGGACGGCCGGCGACTTTCATCTCCTGATTGACAAAATGAGAACACACGTCTCACCTGGCTCGTCAATATTTCATCACGACTAAAAGATGAAAACAGCAGAAAGGACTTTTTTTCATCCCTAATGAGGCACATTATTCAAATTAATTCTTCAATGATGCCTTTTTTTTTTAGCAGTTATGCCTCGTTAATTAGTGCAGCGAGCCCGGAGGCTGCAGGTGGTTTTACCGAGTAACGAAACGCTTTTATGTTCAAGAAAACAAACGAATCATGAATTTGTTGAAGGAAACGTTTGCTTGTAGGCATTCAGGTGTTCTTGCAGAACCTGCAACGAGACAGCAACAGACTCCCAGGGGTCTGGAGAGAACGTCACTGGACCAAAACAAGCTGCACTCAGACAGAGTAGAACCACTGCAGAGACAGCCAGAACCTTTGCTGTTCTAAAAGGAAGCAGCTGGTTGGGTTGTTTGGCTGTAATGTTCTCCACTGAGAACGTTCTGCCTTTGCTGTTGTGTAACACTGCGGGAATGTTTTATAGGTTCTATGACGTGTTCCTTCAACAACATCCTCAGAACATCGCCGCCAAAATGTTCCACCTTTGTTCATACGTCCCATTACAGGAACCTCCCACAAAGAACGTTCCGTCACCTGAGGTCTCGCTAACGCCTGGAAAGGTTTTGCTGAACGTTGGCTTGAGAACGTTCCTCCTTTGTCGTCATGGAACATTGTAGGAATGTTTCAAAGAAAAGCGTTCTGTAGAAGTACTCAGAACATTGCAGCTAGAACGTTCCACCTTCGTTCAAACATTACAGGAACGTTCTGCCATCGCTACGAACTCTTGAAAAACGTTTTTTAGAACGTCGCATTTTGAACATCTTCCCTTTGTCAGCGTTGTGGAAACGTTTTGCAGAAGAACGTTCTGCGATGCGTTCCCTCAGCAAAAATCCAAAACGTTCTGCCGTTAGTTCACTACATTCCAGGAACGTTCTGTACAACAACATCCCATCATCTGAGGCCTCGATAACGTCTGGAGAACGTTTTCCATCGTTGAATCATTTAGAACCATTTATGGCTGAACTAGAATCTTTGGGTCACCTTCCAGAGTTTCTGAGGAAACCTGGACCAGTTTTCAGAGTGCTGGACCGTTCTTTGTTCAGGACAAACTGGGTCCAGGGACCAGAGGGAGGTTTCTGCTGAGGATGGAGCCTGACTCAGCATCTGGGAGGATCTAGACTCCTGCAACGCTTCATGGTGAGAACGTAAAAACTACAGAAAAGGTCAGAAACCACCTACGACAGAGTAAAACAGCTGCTGCTGCTGCGTTGGTGTCTTCAAGCTGCTGGAAGGTGACGCGTCCTTCCTGCTTCGATGTGCCATTTGCTCGTTTCAATTGAATTCCACTTCACTGAACCTTTATGCTTCAAATAAACAAACACAGTTGTTGTTTGATGGACCCACAGCGCCGATTGGTTTTCAGACGTATTTAATCAAAGACATGTTTTCAGGATTTTAGCTGTGGTGTTGTTTCTGTCTGGATTCTGATGGACGCAGCTGATTGGTGGCTGTGGCTCAGGGGTGGGGCTTGTGCAGGACTCTCTCCTCCAATCGAGCGAAGCGCCTCAGCATGCCGTCGTACACCTGCGGAACACGCAGAAGAAGAAGAAATCCTGTAAGGAGTCCAGGCACAGAACAGCTTCAGCGTGCAGAGAATCAGGACGACGGAGCAGAAAACAGAAACTCGTTAACGGGAGTCACGTGACCAATCAGCTGCTTCTTTCAGACGACAGGAAACCTTGCAGACGTTTTTAATGACAATAACTTCTTCTCTGAGTTTTGCTGATTTTGTTTCTGCTCTGTTCTTGCAGCCACAGCGCCACCTTCTGGTCCAGACTCATGTGACGCTTCTGAAACCTGTTTCGGCTGCAACACAATTTAGATTATGTTCTGTCCCAATTTGGACAAGTTTGACCACTTTTCCATTGTTCTGGAGATGATCTGAATCAGTTTGGACAAGTTGTGTAGCGTTCGATGGTTTTGGAGCCAGTTTGGACGGGGCCTGGGTGGACGGGTTTCAAGGTATTCTGGACCAGTTTAGAGTCAGACTGGACTTTCGGGACAGGTTTGAAGTGAGTTTAGAAAAGTTGTTGTCATTTTGTACAAATTGTGGACGATTTCTGAGTCAGTATGGGGGGTTCACGGTGTTTGGGACTCTTCTAAACTTGTTTGCGAGTCAGTTTTGTTTTTGTCACGTGGCAGTGCAGCACATACTTCCCCGTCCTCGAGGATAAAACCTGTAACGCTGGATCTAAATCAGATCGGCTGGTTGTTACTGTGCGTTCTCACACGTATGACTCCACAAAGACAGGTCAGCGTTTCCTCGTCACGTCCGTCGTGTTGCTGCTCATATTTAACATCCTACTGCTGAGAGCATTCATCCAGCAGAGCTCATCATTTATTCACGAGCTGATTAATTATGGAGGGCGAACATGACTTCGGTAAACATGCAGCTCCATTGGAACAACATGTGGCAACGAAAGCGCCGAGACGCTGCTGTGGGAAACGTAGAGCCGCGCTGTAATTAAGACAGTAGAAGAAGAGAAGCGGCGCCCGATAAATGCTGAACGGTGTGGTTTCGATTCACAGCACTTGTGTTTACGGTTCTGTACGGTCAGTGGGTTCCACAGACTTCTTATCTTTGACTTCAACTCACTGGGAATCAGAACATGGGGCCAAAAACTGCACGCAACATAAAAAAGCGACTGAGTTAGAAAACCCTTTAAAGTCTGAAACGCCATCACTTTGATGGTTAACTCAATAACTAACTTAATAACAACGTTTTTCTTCAGTTCAGGATTTCAAGTCTCCTCGACCTGCTAAACACAACCTCAGTTATTAAGAAGCTGTTTTCATCATTGGAGTAAATATGCACACTGAAAAATTAGAGTCTGAGCAACTTTGTTTAATGAAATGAAATGAAAAAATGAAATGAAAAATACTTTATTTATCCCAGAAGGGAAATTCAATAATGAGTTATTGTAGTTATTCAACTGACAACAGGGTTATGCTTGTGCTAGAAGTCATTAAATAATTAAAAATACGTCAAAAACAGCAACAAAAAGATGCTAAAATCCCCGTGAAGAGGTGCAAAGTGTTCACAAACAGGGTGGAACCACAGCGCCACCACAGGACGCTAACTCCTCGCAAAAAGACACGTAAAGGCAGGAAATGACATCAACAGAAAACTCACAACAAAAAACGTTAAATCACCAGAAGGATGACGCAAAATCACCCAAAAAACCAAAACTAAATCACTGCAGAGATGGAGAATCAGCAGAAAAAGATGCAAAATCGCCTCAAAGACGCACAAAATTACCTGAACGACACGTGAAATTAGCACGAGATGCAAAACAACAAAAGCACAAAGTCCGCAAAATGAACGTCAACATGTTCAAACACTGACATTAACGACAAAGAGATTAATCAGTTAACTCCCCTTAATTATAAAATACATTAAGTGACGAGGAACGTGATGGCGGTAAATGTACGGCTGCAGTTCCTGGTTGTTCCACCAGGTGGAGCCTCTACCTGAGGCGGAGTTCCAGGTGTGTTTGCTGACCTCCTTGTGCATCTTTTTGTGGTTGTGTTTTGTTTATTTTTAGATATTCTGCATCTATTTCACTTATTTAGCATTTCTGTGGCTTTCCAAATCTAGTTTTAGTTGTTTTGAGCCTTTTGTGGTTGGTGTTTTTCTTTTTTTTGTGTCAGTTTTTGTTGATTTTGTGTCTTCTTTGTGGTCGCCGTGTGAGTATTTTAGTCATGCTGTTTCTCCTGTGACCACTTTGTCGTTCTTTGTGTTGGTTTCGTGTCACTTTGTTGTCGTTTTGCATCCAGGTTTAGTCGTTTTCTGCCCCCGAGTTGCTTTTTTTGCATCTAGTGCGTTCGTCTCTCTGTGCTTTCATATCATTTATATGTTCCCATGTTGGTTTTTCATCTTTTCGTGGCTGTTTTGTTGTTTCCTTTCTATTTGTGGTCAGTTTGTCGCTCTTTGTGTCAAGACGTTGTGCGTTCGTCTGCTCTGCAACACGATCATCTCTGACTGACTGCAGCTTCGTCCCTGTATGACCTGTGAGACTGTGTGTCGGGGACGTGATCGTCTTCGCTGCTCTTCCATAAGGGAGGAAGACATCTAATGAGAAGGCAGTGAGTCATGAAGGCAGGACGGTCTGAGGTGGTGTTCATGCTTCAACGTCCAGCTCTTCTTCGTTTCCAGCTCTGTGATCACTTACTTATGTCTGGTTTACAAAACACACAGCTTCAAGTCTGATCGAACTTTTGTTGGACTTTTAACTCTCCAAACTGATCCGGTCCCATCCCTCCCTGATACCAAGTCCTGCACAACAAAATGGACTCAAAAGATTCAGAGTCATGTGAAACAGCACAAAGAGCGACACAGTGACCACAAAGAGAAAGAAAAGAGCTAAAAATAAACGTAAAACAGCCTCATAAAGACGACAAACTAAAACTAGATGCAAAACGACAACAAAGCAGCGTGAGACCAACACAAAGAGATAAACTGACAACAGCAAGAAAAAAAACGGATTCAAACTGAAACAATCCCGAAAACGACACAAAACACAGAAAATGGCTAACATTTGATGTTATGAGCCACAGAGATGCCAAATAACAAAAAACAGACAAAACACAACCACAAAAACACGCACAAGAACCATTCAGGAGGTCAGCAAACACACCTGTAACTCCACCTCAGGTAGAGGCTCCACCTGGTGGAACAACCAGGAACTGCAGCCGTGCATCATATTCCTCGTCACTTAATGTATTTTGAAATTCAGGGAGTTAATCGATCAACAATTCGTCATTAATGTCAATATCTGAACATGCTGACTTACGTTTTGCTCTTTTTCTTGGTGCAGTTTTTGGTATTTTAGCACTTTCTTTGGTGACTTTGCACTGTTTGTGGTAATTTGGTGTTTTCTGTGATTTTTTTTGCATCTCTGAGCTAAATTTGCGTGTCTTTAATGTCATTTTACACTTTTTGTGTTGATTTTGATCGTCTTTGAGGTGCCTTTGCATCTTTGTTGGCGATCTTGTATCATTTTTGCTGTGATTTGGTGTTTTCTGTGATGGCTTTGCATTTCTGAGCTAAATTTGCACATCTTTAACATCATTTTGCATCTTTTGTGTGTATTTTGCACATTTTTGTGGTGACGTTGTGCAACTTTGTGGTGACTTTGCGTATGTTTGGTGACTTTGGTGAGTCACTGTGGGCTCATATTTCACTGCAGCATGTATCGTAAAGCACTCAGGAACATTTTGGGCTCCGGAGGGTCGACGTGTTTGTTGTTGCTTCAGAACGAATGTTAAATATCAGTTTTCTTTGCAGATGCAGTTTGCATTCGTCACGCTGGCATGTTTTTTGTAATCAAAGTTTTTATTCAAATTTGAATTCAGGAACAATCACAACAACAGACACTCAGCAGCTAATGCTAACATTTGCTACGTTAGCATGTTTGGACCCTTCATCTGTTGAACCAACGTGAAGACAAAGCGCTCGGAGGAACCTCCTGCTGAAGAAGATCACGCATTTTCTGACTTACAGCGAAACGTTTATCAGCATTAAAGCCGCCGACATTGTCTGTGAGCTTGAACGAGTGATGTAAGAACATTTAGGTGTGCGGTACTTCCTGTCAAGCGCTGCTGTTTACTCCGGTTTTCCTCTTTCTCGTGAGCCACACTCGTCCTTGACCGTTTGTTTGTGCCCGAAACTCGATTCAAGTTGTGCTTTCATGGTAAAAGAGCACCAGGAAGTGGAGGTTTAAACGAAGGCAGCGTCGAGTCTCCCTCATTAAGGCGCTCGTTGAGGCTAAAAGGCCTGCAGATCACGTCCGCCCACTCACAACACTACACGACCTCAGGAGTGATGAGCCAAGCAAAACGCAGAGCATGAAGACGTGTGTGTGGGAGGACACACCGCGGGGAAATACGACGCACACACACTCACTGTGACTAATTTAATAAATGCTAATTACACTGCTGAGGAACTGTGTGTGTGTGTGTGTGTGTGTGTGTGTGTGTGTGTGTGTGTGCAGCGTGCTACCTGCTGGGCTGAGGGATGTGGCGTCGTGGCCAGCTGTGGCTCCGGTGCTTCCTTCACCACGTCGAAGAAGGACACTCCAGATTCGGCTGCCAGGCCTGAAAACACACATCGACCAATCAGAGATTAGGGTTCTGCATCGTTAGCCAATCAGATGGCTAGTTAAGGCCTCATGAACCAATCAGATGTTTTGTTCCTGCATCCAGTCGGTCGGTCGATCTGAGAGCTTTACTCAGTTACAGATGGAGTTAGTGAAGCAGTTAGAGGGTTAGTTCCCACATTGTTAACCAGGTTAACTAGTCTAACTAGTCTTTAGGTTAGGTTCAGTGTTGTTAACCAGTTGGTCGTTGGATTAATTCGTCCTGTGGGTCAATAACCAATAAAAACAGTAGTTTCTGAGCTGATAACCAAACAGCTGGTTAGATGCTTCATATGTAACCAATCAAATGTCACCAGGTTAGATTATCATCAACCAGTCAGAGGTTTAGTCTTTGTTACTGTAGTGTTACCGGTCGGTTAGTTGCATGGTGATTCACTGATCAGCAAATCAGTTCCCTTACCGCTAAGCTGCTGTGAACCAATCAGTACGTTGGTTAGGTGGTTGGTTAGTTGGTTAGTTAACTGTTAGGTCAGTGACATTGTCTTTAGGAAACCAAACACAATCCGTGGGTTAGTAACTGGCTCGCAACCACAAAACAAGCGTTCTAGTTGTAGCTTCTGCATTGCTAACTAAACAGCTGGTTAGTTGTGGTGTAATTAAGCCCTCATCAATGCTATGTCATAATTAACCAACTTGGGAAGCTGCGTTGTTACCATTTAGGTCATGAACCAATCAGGCGTGTCGGTTTTGTTACTTTATCATTAGCCAGTCAATGAGAGGGTTAGTTACTGGGTCACTACCAATGAGGCAGTTAGTTCCCGTCTCACTAACCAGTCACTGGTTATGGTGTTGGTAATAGCTTAGTGGGTTAGCTACAGGCTCAGTTAGAAACAGAGGGTCAGTTTATTTTCCTGTAAAACCTACAAATGAGAGGACGAGTTGCAGTTCTTCACTCACAAACCAGTCAGATTACTAGATTCTGGATCATTAACCCATCAACACGTGGGTTAGTTTATCATAAACCAGTCAGAGGACCGGTTTTCCACATCATTCTCTAACTCATCAGTTACTGCACTGCTGACCATCTGCGGGTTAGTTACAGCATCGTTAACCAGTCAAAGGATCACTCTTGACTCATTAGTGGTAACACTCGTATTGTTCCTGCTGTAACAAGTCCACGTGTGTTCTGGGGTAAAAGTCTGACGTTCAGCAAACAGCTGGTTAGCTCGTTAACCAATCAGCCACTTCATATCGAACAAAACAAGAAGAAAATCAATAAATGAAATTAACACAGAACAACTACATGACAATTAATCAGCAGTTCATGTCGTGGCTGGTCAGTCTCTCGGCTCCACCGTTGCTAATTAGTCTCACAGCTCGTTAACCAATCAGAGGTCCGATTCAGCGTCTGGTAACCAATTAGAGAAACACATAGATCACATCACTGGACACTGTGAACTAAAGGTCAGGACGGTGCTGTGAAGCTGGTGAGCTCAGCAGAACGAAGCAGAGGTCAGGTCCGATTCCTGCTGTCTCTGAGGACTCAGGGTCATGACCTCACCACGCAAAGGATCATGGGACTGACATCAACGCCTTCTCTTCCTGTGATGCACTTTGTGTAATTTGCTACCGAGGGCGAGTCGACCCGGCCGGCCCGACCTGCTCACGCTGCACAAACACACCCAGCAGGACTGAACCGCGGTGCTGGCAACACATGCATATGCATGTCGCGTCATTCACAGGTCTGCAGCTCTGCATTCTGCTGCTGATGTGTCCACGCTGGGCTGCAGCCGACTCCGGACAGGCTGAGATTAACTTTATTGATCCCGCACAGGGAAATTAAACAGCGACAGCAGCAAAGGACTGAGCGGCTCGTTAAGCTCGTTACACAGCAGAGACTAAAACTGCTGGACTGTCAAGCCCTGCTGCATCTGTAGCAGTAGAGTAGTGTCGTGGAAATTCTTGACAGTTTCTAGTTTTGGTTGTAACGGGATGGAGACGAGGAACCAGCAGACCAGAGGGGGTCAACAGAACTGGTTGCTGCAGCCTTGTTTCTGGTGTCGCTGCTGTTATGAGCCCGTCTCCAAGCTAACTCACAGAGCCAAGAATCCTGGTGGTCTCCATCAGCCTGAACATCTGGATGCTGCAGCTTCACCTCATTCTTCTGATGAAACTGTTCAGACTCTGTACAGGTTCCACAGGGATCAGGAGTGAACAGAACTTTAAGTTCAGATTCTAATTCTCAGCTGGACTGAGGTCTGGACTCTGACTGGACCTCCAGAACTTCACCTTGTTGTCTTCAAACCAT